ATTAAATCATCACTCTTTGATAAGGCAGCTAAAAACATTACAAAAGTTTATCAAAGTCTTCAACTTTATAATAATTATGATGGTTCATATTCATTTATATCTGATAAAGATACACAACATTCATCACTTTATTTAACATCATTAGCATTTGGTGCAATGATTTCTCCAATGATGCCATTCCATGATAATGTTACACTTAATCGTACATTAAATTGGATATTATCTCATCAACAAGAAGATGGTTCATTTGATGATAATATTCCATGTTTTCATTATCGATTCTGTTCTGGTAAATTTCGTCGAGAATCATTAACAGCTATTGTTTTATATTCATTAACACATGATTGGTCATTAATGGATTCTATACCAGAATTTATTCATGATCATTTATATCATGAACAAAATAATTCAATAATTCGTGCACAAAATTATTTACAATCGCGTCTTAAAGATGTTAAATCAAATTTATTAATAAGAACTTTATTGGAAATGGCTCTTATTCAAAATCGAGATTTACCACTTAAATTACGTAACGAAATTCATGAAGATCTTTTAAGTAGAAAATTAACAATTGTAGAAGAAGATGATTCTAAATATTTGAAATATAAAGGTGATAAAAAAGCATTTTATGATGAATTATTAGTTAATACAATGACTATTTCAATTTGTGCTTATTATTATGAGTCTGAAAGAGCATCAAATATTGCTCGTTGGCTTGTTAATCAAATTCAGACTCATCCATATTATGATATCATTTTAGATGATGTTTTTCGTACTGAAGCTTTGGTTCAATTTTGTAGTCTTTTCCATCAACATTTGGAAGAAGAAAAATTCGCCATTACAATTGATATAACAGCTGATAATGGAGAAAAAAAACAATTTAAAATTGATAGAAAGAATATGGATATGACGCAAATATTTGAATTTACTTTACCAGTTCAACAAATAACTTATACTGTCAGCGGTTTTGGTGCTGTTTGTGTTAAATTAATGAAAGAATTTGTTCAAAAAGAGCAAAAACTCAATGAACCAATACCATTTGAATTATCAATAGAATTAACAACAATGCCATGGCTCAATGAAATCAAAGCCAAAACTTGTATGACTTATACACCAACAGTGAAAGATAAACAATTAGTTAAAGAAGATTTTAATCGTGCTATTGTTATTGAAGTTAAACTTCCGTCAGGTAAAATAAATAATTTTATTTTCATAATAAAAACCATTTTTCTATTTAGGAATGCGTATTAATATGCGTAAAATTGGTTTTATGTTAAGTTATATTAAACAAGTTATGTATTTTACATATGAACCATGTGGTCATAAACTCATCTTCTTTATCAAGGTTCCATCAGCAGAATTCGGTAAACCAATTTGCCTTGAATGGTGTCTTGAACGTTTATCATCTGTTATTGAATGGGCACCAATTCAAGTACGTGTTTATGATTATCTTCAACAAGAAACTCAATTAATTCATCTTATACCAATTGAAACTCAACCAACTGTTCTCGGTTATTCATTTGTTGACGCTGTTCAGCAGGTAAGCCTAATTCTTGAAATATTAATGTCGGACTTGTTCTACTTAGCCTATTATTTTTCTTTTTTCTTGTTGCATAGAAATTGGTTGAAAAAAAACTGCATTGGTTCAGGATAGCTGGATATGTTGAAGCACGAAAACGATAATGTCATAAAAAAACATTTCATTTTTTATTATTTTTTAATAAGAATAAAAAATAAAACAAAATCTTGTTTTTTTTTAATTGCATCGAAAAAGAAACAAATAATAATAGTATTAGATAAAAGTGACCTAATCATTCATGATGGATCATATCGTCTACCAACTGAATTTGCTGCAACAATCAGTGATGAACAACGTACGTGAAATATTGTTAGAATAGGAGCTTTTCATATTGAAATACTTAATATAAAAAGATAAGTATAATAGAGAATAGCAAAGCAAATATATTTGTCTGCATTTTAACCTTATTCTCCAAGTTAAAATATTTCCATAATAGGGTAACTTTTTTGTATCAAACATTATTTCAAATTCGTCGAACTATTTCTTCTTAAACTCTGTTAGAATTGAATGTCAAATTGAAGAAATTTATCAATTGTCTTTATTTACTTGATAGTCGTTTCGATTGACTTGAAAGAGTTTCTATTGATATTTATCGGATATTATCTCTACAGATAATCATCGATAATAAAGTAAATTGCACTATTTTGTTTTTATATCTAATATATTCAAATAAATTGATTTATTTTTCTATAAACAAATACCTAACCTAAAACTTTTCTCTCTCTATTCTGAACAGGATACAGATAAATATAATGAATTGATTGTATCACTTCTACATCAAATGAGCAATTTAGAAGACCTCGATTTACATCTTGTCATGTATTCTCAGAAAAGATTTATTGATGATTATCATTTCAAATACAATATTATCAATTGTTTATTACGATTAAATCAATTTCTATTTAACATATGATTACCTCTGCTTCGAAAAGATCAACTTTATTTATCATCAAATGAAGATTGTCAATTTTTTTTGAATACTTTTCAAAATAATCAAATTATTTCATGTCTTGATTATTTCCCAAATTGCAATCAAGATCAATATCATATTTATTCATAGCCATATCAAACAACATATTATTGATATATTACAAATCATTTCTCAGATCGATTATTGTGAAAGAAAATCTAATAGAGAGTGTTCAACTGTATAGAGATACAAATTTGGATCCACTACTCTCACAGATCGTGACTGACAAAGGTCAAAGATCATTATAAAGCGTCACAGATCGTGACCGACATTTTAATTAATTAGATAATTAATTAAGTAATAAGTGTATAATTAATTCGTTGACATCTCATTAATTAATTGAAGACAGTTTATAGGTGTAAAGAAAAAGTTAGACGAAGATAAGCTTTATTTGTTGTGAACATATGAATACTTAACTCGATATGTATGTCGATGAACTTCCATCATCGTATCGTAATCAGATCGTCAAGCTCTACAAACTATTTCATATAACAGCGGATATTGATAATCATACTTATCATCTTTCCATATTTTTTTTGCAATGGACAATGAACTTTGACCTGCGTCAGTCACGATTTGTAGGGATAGTGGAACCAAATTTGTACCTGTATAGACTTGAATACTCTCATTTAGATGGTGTTTGACAAAATAGAGAGATTGATTATTAATGAACATGATGATGAAGAAGCACATGGTTGTGAGAATGATTGAATGAGGATGTGGATGTGGATGTGGAACAATTTTAGTTGATTTTGTTGGATTATGACAAAAAATATTCATATGAATGCTTTTTCTATTTTAAAAAATGATGTATAGGAACAGCTGCATAAAAGTAAAAAAAAAATTATTTTTTTAGTAATAAACGAAAACAAGATGGAAACCAAAGAAAAGTATTTCTTGATGAAATTTCAATAGAAACAATTGTTGAACAAACACCTGAAGAATTAAAAAAAAAAAAAATTTTTCCTTGAATAAATGTATGATGTTGATGATAAATTTGTATGAAATGGTGAAGTTGATATTTATCAATAAACTTATGAACGTCTTCAATCAAAAATTGATCGTTTTCAATGATCAACTAGTTGAAAAATAAGAAGAGATTGAACATTTGATATGTATGATTGAAGTAATATTTGTTCATCTGTAACTAAACCAGATTGATATTCAACCGACACAAATAGTAAAAAAAAGAATTTTCATTTTAAATAAAAGGAAAAAGAATTTTAATTTTCATTATTTTTTAGCTTCATCAACTGTTCTTTGGTAATATAGAACAAATGAAAATTCAACAGAAAATCTTCAAGATCCATTTACAACTGAACAAATGATTCGTTTAATAAGTACTGAACGAAAATTAGATAAAGATAAAGTACGTTGTCGTCGTGTTGGTACGCAACAATTCTATTCGATAAAATGTATCGATTTTGATCTTTATCTTGATTAAAATCATTACTTCTAAATAGATGTTGTTTTTCTTCTCATTTATTCAATAAAAAAACAGACAGTTACTATCTGAGATTGTCTCAAATAGGATCTTTATATATCTAAGTAAATGCTCAATTCAGCCTTCCAACATTCTACCAACAATCCAATGAAAGTGAAATGAGAATTTGTTGTGCAGCGGATGTATCATAAAATTTGATTAGGTCAACATAATTGTTTTTATTTTCAATATTTTACAAAATAAATGAAACTATAGCAATAGTGGACACTATCATCTATGTGTAGTTCATCTCAGATAAATAGTTATTTACATCTGAGATGACATAGTGAATGGTGATCCCTTCTTATTGTGCAAAATAAGACATTCTTAGAGGTTTTTTTTTGTATTTTGAAATAGTGTGTAGAATATTATGAATATTTGTGATTTATGAAGGGCAAAGAGATTAACTTTGAATAAGTTCAATTAATTTCATTTTTATTATAATGAAATAATAGATTTCTATTCTTTATGATATATATCGGTTTTTCTCTTAAATGAGAACACCAATCGAATGTTTTCGTCGATAAATTGATTATATTTAAAAGTAAAAATGTCTATGATAAATAACATTGAAAGTAAAGTCATATCTTGAAAAAGAGAAATGAATATTTAATCAAAGTTCGATTATATCTTATGTTTGAAAAGGCATAGATACTTTTCGAATGAACATATTACATTCAATCTGAATCGAAACAATTTAAGTCATTTTTCAATTTGAGTTTATTCTCAAATAGACTTTTTATGCTGGAAAAACATACTGCAACTCACATATTTTACCCTTAAGAATTAATAAAGAAAATCGTTATATACTTTTTTCTTACTCATTAGAACAAAACAAATGAGTATTGCTTTTAATCCATAAATTCTTTGACAAACTCAGCATGTGCTCTCATCAACCATGAAATGGTCATTTTATGATCAAATTTCTTTGAAGATGATTGTCTTAATTGTAATTGACTTTTACTATTTTATTTTACAAATAATTTATTATTTAACATTCTTTTATGAAACACGACTAAGTTTGGAAAAAATTTTTGATAAGTATCATTGGGATAGGTCCATGGTTCAACAGTAATAAGAGTTTGAACTTTAGAACAATTGTTTTTAACTTGTTGTTGATTTTGATTAATTATTGTTAACGCAAAATCATTGCGAATAACAAGTTCGATTAAACATGGAAGATAAGTTCGATATAAAAGTTGTTGAACATAATCCGCATGAATATCATGCAAAATAAGTGTTGATAAATGACGAAATTCAATAGAATTATTTGTTGCCTGATTTTTTTCTTCTTGTTCAAGAAGATTGAATACTTCAAGCAGTTTAAGACGAGGTAAAACTCGTGCAACACGTTGAAAAAAAACATGTTCAAACGGTTTGATATCATCAAAAAGTATTAACATTGTAACATTTGAAAATCTTTTTTCAACATTGAATAATGGAAATCGATTTGAAATAAAGTCAAGACGAGTACCAATATATGGAAGAGAATATATTTGACATTGACTATATTGATTATTGAAATAATCAATTGTACAATCAATAGATTGTTTATATTGAATAAAACTTTGACGAATTTTATCGAGTTCTATATGATTAGCATTTTTTAATATTGAACGAATATGAAAATCAAATTGGAATAATTTAGGCATATATGAAACAATATCTCGTTGTAAATCAAATCCATCAATAAAATGATTTGGTCCATCTTCATTTACATCAATAGCCAATAATAATGTTAAATGTTCGACATTTGATAAACGTTGTAAAAGAGGAATAATACATTGTTCATATTCGAATATATTTCGATATATTCTCATTTTTAATTCTTTCAAATTAGGACAACATATCTAAGTTAAATAAAAAATAATATTATATTACTAAATAAAAAAAAGAAGCATTACTTACCAACGATATTTCTGATAAATCAAATCCTCGAGATAAACGGACGCGCATTATGCTCACATCGAATGAATGTAACTGTGCTCCTATTTGATTCAATAATCGAACACAATCGTCGAATTGACGAAATGTAATACAAATATGAGTGAGATTATGTGATTGAGGAAAGGACAATAGTTCATCACTTGGTGGAATTGATGCAACACAATTAGGACCAAATTCGAATGAAATAATTGAAGACATTATTGGTGAATGATGATAAAATGATACCAGTAGATCAATAAGTTCACCACAAATGTCGAAAACTTGAGGTATATCGGAGAATAAAGGATAACGCCGTACCTCAATAACATCATAATAATCTAAAAATTACACAAATGAAATAAATTTTCGATCTGCATAAATCGAAAAATTCTCGAATTACCTTATCATCTGTCCATAGTATTCAAACATGAACATTATCTATTCATCTTACATGAATTTTATTCATTATATAACAAAAAATGACTGGCATGGAAATTTCGGGTAGTAGAGCTTCTAGAAAAAATTCATCTGAACGAAATCGAAATAAAATGGTATTCAGCTGTCTGATTCTCTATAATGAAACTATGTTATAGAGTCGAAAATATAGTCAAAGACAAATCCTCTTTCAATGATTAGGATAAAGTTTCCAAAATATTGAAATCATAAATAAAGTGAATTATTGTCTAATAAGATGTATATATTCGAATAAAAAGAGAACAATTAAGTATAACTTACTTGTTCTAAAAGGTACTTGTGTATCACAATGGAAACGACCAGCCATTATTTTCAAATGCTTTAAATTATTGAGACAATTTTTATCATGAATTGTTTTAGCAATGCGATCAAAATTTCGTATATGTAAAATATTGATTGTAAGTGATTCAATATAATTAAAAATACATGGTAACGTAAATGATATGAATTTTTGAATAAGCATTTCATTTGGTGATTCAAAATAATCAGAAGTTAGATCGATCGAATGACATTGACCAAGAGCAAGTTGTTCCAAACGAATATTTTTGATGCCGATCATTGAATAGAGTAATATAGGTCGAGGTTTAATTTTATTCATAATGGATAAAATCATTTCATCTGGTAAGTCAAGTAATTCAACAATATTTTCTATAGAAAACAATAAAACAAAATATTCATATTAATAAATAATTACATACTTGTGTTTGATAAGTAGCTCATTCTTTATTTGACCTATTTGTGAGAATATTGAACATGTACAAATTTATGTATATACATATATATAGGAGCCTTTGCGCTTGACGGTCATTGTCTTGAAATAAGTGGTATTAATAATCGGCCAAATTTGAGACCGAATACCGAATCGACGGAAAAGAATATGATTGATTATCGTCAGTCTGAGTCATATTCAAGTCATAGATAACCAATCATATTCTTTTTTGGTCGCTTAAAATTTTAATGTCTTACCTTCAATAATTGGTCAATTTACAAGCAAATCAATAAATTCGGTTGATAGCTCGAAAAAAAAATCAGATATTAAACATGTAAAAAAAAATTAAATTGAGATAAAATGTTTCGTTTCGATATTCATTTAATATATTTTACTTGATTATTCTATTAAAAAAAAAAAGAACGTGTCGGTGATATTTTATTGAATATTGATATATGGTTTATCTATGAAATAAATATCTTCTTTTTATAAATTGACTCTCAATAAGATAATCTATTCAATAACTGCCTACCATATGTCAAATAAGATGAATTATTTATTCGAGATTGATTTATTTAACAAATAATTCTTATTTTTTTTAAACAATTATAATTGACGAATATTGAGAAAATGTTATTCTTAAATTGTTTATATTTATCGTTCTATATATATAGTACAATTTTATCGAAGAGAATTTATAATTAACCGTTGAAATTGATTGTAAACTTAAAAAAAGAAACGATTTATCATTTAAATAATATTTCATTCGAGATTTCTACCAACGATATTCAATATAATGTTTATCAAATTTTAATCGATTGATTAAATCGAATTTTTACTCTTCTCTTGAAATCAAGAGAAGAGAAGTTCTAACTAATTGTTATATTTAAGAAAATTGACTTGTTTTATTCTTTTCTTCGGAAGTTAAACATTTTCAATAATTTTATCATTTCTAATGTTTGATAAGTAGTTAAATGCTAATCGAGATAGATTCAATAAAATCTTATTTCTGTGAAGTTCATTCGAAAATTTCGATCGATATTTCATCTATGACAACTCTTTATCGACTAGCTGATTTTGATTGTGTTTTGCCTCTTATTTAGTCTATTGAGATTTCGACGAGAATAAATCAAACTGAGCTTGAAAAATGTCAAATAGGTATGCTTTTATTTCATTAAATATTAGTTATTATATCTCTCATAAAGCAGTCATTCGGTAGATATTTCGTCACATTGGTTTCACCTTACGATTAAGAATGTTTCATTTTATTGATGTTTGATTATCAAGTCGTTATAACGTTATCGAATATATAGAGATAAGAGAGGAACCAAGTAGAACTAATTACAATTGATAACTGTCAAACATCTTAATTAACTCTGAACTATTTTTCTTATATGAAACTCATTTTATCAATTCATTAAAACTCTCATGCTTTCACAACACTCTTTCTTTATTTAACATACTCTATTTATTTTTTCGTTTTTGAGAAAAAAAAAACGTCTTCAATGTCTCTAACTAAAGAAAATCTGGCATTTGATAAATAAGTGGTTGATGTTAGAAGGTATTAAACCAATCTATTGAAATTTTTTTCAAAGATTCAAAGCGAGAAAATTCATCATGACTATATCCTCATTCAGTGTTATTAACGAGCTTTGCACTTTATTTTGATTATTTGAAAAAAAAAATTCTTTTTTTCTTTTTGGAAAATTACAGAATTAATGTGAAATATATGCGAAAAAGACAGAGCTGATTTTTTTCAATGAAGCTTTGTTACTATTATATGGAAGTATATCTTTTCGAATAGAGTGCGCGGTTTTTTTTTCTTGAGGGTGTGGGTGTAGGTGTTGATGAAGAGGTTACCTATAGCTAGTAGCACGCCCACCCAGACCCATACCCACCCGCACACACCCGATACGATGCGATTGGTCACATTGAAAAATAAACTTTCATACACGGTAAAGAAAACGATGAAATGATTTGCAATTACTATAGAGTGTCGAGTCACTAACAATACATTGTTGGTGTTAAACATTAATAGGGTAAGAGCATGCCATTAGTTTTTTACGATAACGATATGACAGATTAGCACCTTCATCGATTTGAAAATAATCAGATTTTATGTAATTCTTATCTCGATTTTTATATGCTTTCTTATATTTTCATCACGCATGCATTAATAGATAATATATTTCAAAATACAAAACATATTGAAATAAAATCAATTTTTAAGACTGGAAACCTTTGTCTCACGAATGTAGTCAAATAATGGAGGTCGAGTTTGTAGACGACAATATCGATACAGATAAAAATATAAATCACTCACTGTTGTATTTTTCGGCATCAAGTACTCATAAACTGCAGACAATGATATGATTAAGTTTTTATCACCATAGGCTGCATATATAAGTGGACGTCTAGCGACAGAAGCAGCCATCAGTTGAATAATTGCTAAAATTTAATGATTAAAATATATGATAATTTCCATAGATCAACCGATACCTTTCAATTGTTTATCGCTATTAAAAGCTCCACAACCCCAGTTTCCAGTAGCAATACCAAATTTATAGTCAGCTCCATCTCCTATAGGACGAAAACCTGTGTAGGCTTTCAGTAATTCACGTTCGACGACTTTCATATTGTATTGGTCTGATGGATTACGAAAATAGACCGCGTCCATAGCTATTACATGACACCATTTCCGATCCCAACCATCTCTAAAAGAAAAATACAGCTTGATAAAAAATTATAAAGAAAAAAGTCTTCACTCTACTATCAACTTATCTTGTAGCAAAAAAGTTACATCGAATAGTCAAACTTTTCGGTGAAATCAATTTAATTAGAGAATATTAGTCCAATATCTGCATCAAATTCAACTGATATTCTATGAGCACAACTACTGTGTACACTGTTCATAGCTCACTCAAGCCTAATGATTTACAAATGAAAAGAATACAGACATCTACGAAGTTCCTTTGTGAGAGAAAAAACGGATTCTGTCTTCGTTTTTAATATGATCCATTAGGAACGATAGTAGTGTTGATTTATTTGAAATCTCATACCTAGGTGTATTATCTTGATAATCTCCAGCGTATTCAAATGAATCAGCATAGCCTTTGTATGATGAATATCGTTCACAGCCAATAAGAAAGATACATTCATTGTTGTCCATGACTTCACAAACAAGTAAACTAACTAGCATTTCAGGGCAGATAGTGAAACGAATTTCTTCTTGTACACAGCCGCCACCTAAAACGCCACCTCCCTAATTCGTATAAAATATATTGTTACCAAAACAAAAGCAATCATTGCTTCTTAAATTCTTACAATATATTTATTGGCAAAATCAACCTAATAAACACAGATCAATCGAAAAAATTTAAAGTTAATCGTTTAATTTACTTGTAATACGTTCTTGATATCTTCAATTTTTTTACCTGTTGTCATGTTCAGATCACAGAGACCTGTGTTTAGTTCATGCCACGATGGGAAACGATGTTTGGGTAATGAAACACGTTGAAACGTTATTACACCGTTTGGCACTAAAAACAGAAATATCAACGTATGAGACAAACTTATGATATACGAACTATGTTCTGTAACACGATTAAAATAATGTAAAATACACTTGAGTTTTTCGAGTTTGTTTTGACGTACATCTCGATATAATCTACAAGATCGATAATAATGTTTCGACGAAAGACTTATTATAAAATCCTAGAATCACTTACGTTTCAAAATTTGGATCTTGAAAATGTTCATATTCTTTTTTTGCTGACGGATAAGTCCGATATGGAAATAAACAGAAAAATGCACAAGCTAACAATGCTGCTGCTTGTTCTTGTGACATAGTAACTGAACGATTTGTTCCAATTTTTAACAAAGGTGGTGACTGAAAAATTACAAAATTTGAAAGTTCATTGTTAATAGATGATATTTATGTACATATACCTGAGTGCAAACTAACTTCAGGTTCAATGCAAGGTTACAAATCTTAGGAAGAGTATCATACATAAAACGAGCACGATTATCATTAGAATATACCTTCAAATAATAATGAATTAACGCAATGAATAAAATAAAAAAGTACTGACTTTTGTAATCAGATTTTCTAAACATTTCAGATCAAATGTACGTTTGTTAATGACTTCAATCGTGTCCTAGTATTTTGTTTCGTTTATTTGAATGAAATTAAACGAAAGAGTTTAAATGATTACTTTTAAATCTTTAAATTTGACCGTACGATTTTCGCATTTTTTTTTGGAGAGAAGCCAAATGCTGAGAAATAATAGGCCAAATAAGTTGTCCATTTTTCTTTAACAATAGAAAATAAGATAAAATGCTAGAAAGAATTTTCCTAACTAACATATGCATAATGTTTTGAGCAAGGCATACGAACATGTTCCTCGTCCCAACAATCATAATAAGTAGATGAATCTTTGATAGGTATCGGTTTGATATCAGGTCGATTTTCATCAAATTGCCATGGCTATACAACAATAAACAATTAGCTTTAAAATACTTTAAATTACTTTAATTATAGAAATGAAGTTTTTGTCACGTATGTCTTCCATAGGTATTACAATTGGCGGTCGACACAATCTATTAATAATTGTATCAATCGATTTGCCCTAGAATAGATCACATAGAAGAGGGGAAAAGGAACATCGATTTCACTTTTTTCTATTATTTCACCAGGTTTGATTCCATCAATAAAATCTTTAAACATTGCTATATCTATATAATTCAATCGAGCATAGTTATAAAAATAATTTTTTGAGCAAGATAATTTAATAAAAAGAACACAAAAACAAGACTTACATTCTTCTTCGATTGCTTTCATATCATTTTGTTCTCTTTGTTGTGAAACGATTAATTGGTTTCCTCGAATTTGAACGGATGAACGCGGGGAAGCCTGAGAACAAGATTCTACATCACTGAAACGCTGACCCAAACGGTTAGGACGTACGTCAGTGCTAGGTCTCAAATTACCGTCAATTTCTAAAATTGAGAAATGGAAGATATGCGATAGATTCAAGGGTTAAAAAAGACTTAAACAGTGAAAAAAATTCATGATAGTTCAAAATTTATTATATATATATACCACATTTATTTCATTCATAGGTTGCTAGCACTCATCTGGTCTTTTCTATTGAGATATAATTTAGGAAGAAATTTTGAGATTCGAAAGTAAAGCAATGCATTCGTTCAGGCAACCTCTATTAAAGGTATTTAACTGAATGGCTAAGACTAAGGCATGGATGTGGATAATAAAAGTGATTACATCAATCCATCTTCATGTACACACCACATACGCACATTCATGAAGAGACTAATTGCTGTGATCTTCGCGCATTATTTATAGATATGTGAGTGTGTAAGATGTCGAATAGCCAGTACACGTCCCTAGTCTTAAAATCTTTTGTTTTGAAAACGAGCGCATTGCTCTGAAGACTTGGATATGAACTCGACCGAGTCCTAAGTTGATAAACAGCAGAAAACATAAAATTGTCAGCCTTGGGTACAAAGAGTATGAAAGACCTAAAGTACATCTTATGGTCTGTGAAGTTTCGAAGAAAAAAAATAGGATTAAACGATTCATTATGTTCAATCAGACTGAATAACTTCTCATTAATCGTTGTAAAATTCCAAAAAAATAGTAAAAGATTTCAAAAGACTATTCAAGTCCAAACAAGGCAAAGTTCAACCTCCAAAATGTCGAACAAGTACAAGTGCGAAATACATAATATGAAGCAAATTAGGATTTTTATTAATTATTTAAAAGTCTCAAAATTGAAATCTTAAAAAATGTTCTTTCATTCTTCGCGGGTCTATTCTTGATAGTACCGATCGAACGGCTCGGTATTAAAAAAATGAATGTTCTCATGCATTGAGAATATCCTTTGTGAAGCATGACTTTTTAGTGGGAAAACCCATTGCAGAAGAACCCACTAGATGTTTTGCTGAGAAGAGACTGTCTTTGTTTTGAAGAAAAAAAAGTAGATTTTCAAGTCTAGCATGTTTCGAAACGTGTTGCCTCTCGGATAACTCGTTCTTCTACCACTTTGAGAGGTATTCTTAATCAACGCGCTCTTGCATCAGTGAACATTTTCACAGTCCCTCCCGCGATTAATAGAAGTAAACATTGAATTTTCACTTAAAGAAAGTGTAGATGTGCTATTCATAAGATCTTCTGTTGATTCTTACTGAGAGGAAGTCATCAATTTAGCGTCAGTATATGATTGTAAATATGAAGTAGATCTAGAAAAAGTGGTAAGAAACTGTCCTTGATCCAAGAAAAAATTGTGACATTGTATTTTGATCATAATATTCACGCTCAGAGGTTGACGAGAGAATACTTATAGTCTATAAACTGAACAGAAGAGTGCAATCAAACATCGATTGATAAACATCAAGACAGATGCTCTGTCAGGTAGTAGTAAATGAGTAATAAGACCGATCGAATTGTTTTTTAAATGGTGAATTTATCAGTATCAAATGTAACATACCGGGGGGTCGCAAAGAGTTGTCTTTTGCGTTCGACGACTCGCTGGATGATGACGCTTTGGATTTGGATACAACTGAAGTTGACTCGGATTCAGGTGAATTTGCTGCGTCTAAAAGAAGATAACCAGTGCCTGTAAAGTTATTCATGGATCTCTGTCAATTAAACCTCTCCCATACTCAGTTAAGAGTTGATTTAGTTAACAGATGAACAGAAGAATAAATATCTTGACATGTAGGAATCAGTAAAGTTTAAATTTTTCGTGCATATATAGATTTCCTGTATTCGGGTTATAAATTCAAGAGAAACGAAGAAGAACCGAGTAAGTATGCTGTAATAACTCTTACGAGAGAGGCCGTAAAAACCTTTGGTTGTCTCTCTCGTATAGACCTGCGGATCCTATGGGTACCCCCATATAATACCGCTTGATACTTTGTGGGTACCGCTATAGTATAGACTTTGAGGACCTATCCGTACTTCTGTATAATAGCCCTTGGGGACTTTTCGATACCTCTGTATAATAGACCTTGTGAACCTAAAGGTACCACCATTATATAGGATTTGAGCACCTAAAGGTACCTTCATAATATAGGACTTGAGCATCTAAAGGTACCCTCATAAGAGAGGACTTGAGGACTTAAGGGTGCCCCATTATATAGGACTTGAGTACCTAAAGGTACCCTCATAATATAGGACTTGAGGACCTAAGGGTATTCTCATTATATAGCACTACATAGAGCCGAACTACTGTCCTGCGGACAAACACGCAAACACACAGTCAATTTCGGAATTAAGACCTTGACTATAGTCAAGGGAATAATACTAAGGACTTCATACAAGAGTGAAGTCATATAGAGTCATGCGGAGTCAGAGTGGAGTCAAGTGGAGTCATGGAGTCTGCTGTTTCTCCCTTGAATTCTATACCAACATTAATTGAAATAAATGAACGAAGAATTACAGTAAAATCTCCATAAATGAGCACTTGACAGAATGACCGACCACTTTTTTGTTGGAAATGAGCATCTATAACAAGAGCACCTTCCATCTCTTATAGCGGGCACTATTTTTTTACGATCTACTGTACCACTGAATCTCTTGTATTGGCAGATACAATTATTATACTGTTCTTTGTTGTTCAGTGAATAGGAGAGAGAAAAGTTCTGTCCGATGCAACACACAAAATAACTCATCTCTACAATTTTAATTGTTTTGTCAGTTATAAAAAGAGTATGAATAGTTGTGTCACTTGTTGTTTTCTTTCAAAATCATTGAAAAATAACATCATCTCACTTGATGAGAAAGTTGTATTGATCAATGACTATGCTAATGGTGCTAGATTATCGCAACGCAAGTTATGTAGCAAGTACAAAGATGTCAAAGCGGTGCTGTTTACATTATTTTTCAGTGAAAAGACGAATACAAATAAAGGTATCAAGCGCAATCTACAAAATGAGACGGATCACAACATCAATGAAGCTGTTTTCCCATGGCTCGTGGCACACACGATTGAAAACTATTCTATTTTGAGATCTCTTAATATAAGAAAAGACGCAACTAGTCAATAAAGAAATTGGACTTTCACCAAGGTAAGTTGAGGGTGAAATGGTTCGAGAGCTGCATCTACACGCATGTACTCATGAACCAGAACTTCATCGATTTGTCACTCCTTTAAAATTAATACTGGTCAACATTGACATTCAATGAAAGCAATATGAAGCAAATTTCAAACACAGAATATGTTCATTGTAAATAGGATAATGGAAAATAAACTTTGTTGAAAGAAGATTCTAATTGACAAAAAAGCGATCAAAATACTAAAAGTGAATCGAGAGCATATAGGAATGCACCAATTCCAGAAAATTGACCTCAAAGATGCTATTTTTGCGATATGAAGAACTACCGATTCCGAGCAATTTTTTGTGCTAAACTTGACCGCCTTAAATTGCTCGACCTCTAATGGTTGCCGGATTTCATTAAATACAATCAAACGATGACAGAATTGGGCAAAAATTCAGGATTTTTAGCCAATTTTGACCAATTCTGACATCTTTTAATCGTATTTAGTGCAATTCAGCAACCATTAGAGGTAGAGCGATACAAGGCGGACAAGCTTAACACAAAAAATTGGTCGGAATCGGTGGTTCTTCATATCGCAAAAATAGCATCTTTGCGGTCAATTTTCTGGAATTGATGCATCCCTAAGAGCATATAAGTAGGACTGTTGTTTATGGTTTCGCTAGTGAATAACGTACTAGTCCTTGATATAAATGTAAACTCTATAAGACGGGCATCATCGTAAGGTGGGCGATTTGAAGAAGTCCCATTGGTGCCCCTATAAGAGAGGTTTTACTGTACATTTTCTTTAAATAAATTATCAAAAGAATTTGCCACTTTTCTACTCAATAACATATCTTGATAGATAGATTAACTAATACATTTCTCCAGTAACAAAATTAGAATTCTCCGGAAAACAATAAAATATTGTATGAAGAACAATATTGACATTCCATTGTTGAATGTAAACTTCTTACAATTCACAATATTACAGAAACATAAGCAAAAAAACAACTAGTTTACTATAACATTTGTCTTTAACACACATCTATTACACATAACTAAAAAACGGAAAATCAAAGCCATAGACGAAATCTTGATACGTCGACACCCACTCGGCTATCTGGAAAACGAGCTTGAACCATTAAACGATAAGGTTCTACTTTTTTGTAATGAGTTTTACCATAAATATCAAGAAAAGTCAAATCTTTTAATTTGTCGATTAGTTGACAAAGATCTTGTTCAAAAACGATCACATGTTGAGCTAAAAGAAAAAAGAATTATATTATTAATTTAATTTCTCGTATAAAATTCTTGTATTTATATGTATATACCAATCGATTCAGGTACTTCTAAAGAATTTAGCCATTGTAGAGGTAAAAGATCATCGTAGTATCTTTTATAATCTGGTCGAACTAAAATAAAGAAACACAAAATTATCTTTAATTGAATCTCCCTAGTATATGTTTTATGAATATATATTGTTTCTTTTTCTGTCTCTATTTTCAAAACAAGAAACACAATACTCGAAATAGATGTTTGAGATAGGAAGTTGTTTCTTTGTAGTTTTTATAATAAATTTTCTTTATTAACATCTAGAAATAGTGTTGTCAGATTGATAAAAGTATCTAATGAGTTCTTTTAGAACTCTTCGTATCACTCCATATGAGTTCTTCCAAGAAATTTCTAAAGAATCATGAAGAATTTTTCGATTTTATTTATGCTTTGCGAACTTCAAAAGAATTTTATCAATCCATCTGGGTTCACTCTCGATTCTTATAGAGTGAATTGATTAGGTTAATATTATATAATTGAGTAAAAAAATTGCTGTAAGTGAGACTTTTATCTCTATCATTTTCTTCTAATCACTGTTTTTCACCAGAAGAATTTCACATTTAATTAATATTTTGAAGTAAAACAATTTTCCTTAATTTTCTATTGTTTATTTTTAAAACTGAAAATCGATAGAAATAAATTAGAAAAAGATTTCGATAAAATCATTTTGATTCTTTCAATCTCACATGATTGCTCAATTTTTCCAATACAAACTAAAGCTTTCAAAGTATTTGATGTTACTTCTCAAATGTTAAGTTTTACTGGAACAAGATCACCTATAAATAAACATTATAGAAAAAAAAGAAGATTTTTTCATTCAAATTGAACTGTATATTATAATAAAAATATTTATTTGATTAATAAATAACAAAATAAAATTGACAAAAATTAAAGAAATAAAAAATGGAATATTTTGTCATAACTCATTAAGAAAATTTTATTATGATTCTTTTTGTTTATTTACAGTAAACTTACCAGTTGTCCAAGGAAAATCATCTGGTCGCCAGAGACGTAATGTTTGTAAATGAGGCATATATGTGCTAGTAAAAGGTACAAGACGTTTGTCCATATGAATTGTTTCATAACCATTATGACAACTCGGAAGACAAAATTCAGCATATCGTACAGTACTTAATGAATTTAGAATAAATTCATTAGATGCCTAAATAGAAAACGAAAAATAAATAAGTATATCATACCAACCTATTACACTTATTTCGTCAAATCAAAGTAAATAATCTAAGTAGAGATCCGCAGGACAAAGATTTACGTAACTATAATCCCATTTGTTCCACTCCGATGTTCTTCAAAATGCATAAATGGGGTTATTCTGGATTGAAGACTGTCCTACAGGTCTCCAGTTCTCAAGTAGTGCACAAACGAAAATAGCTTATCGCTTTGTGTAATCCATAATCTTTGACTGAAATATATATGTAAAGGCAAATACTAATGAGAATCATACTTTTCTTTAATACTTCTAGATATATTTACTCATTATTATAATAAGATTTGAATATATTCAAGAATATACATCTAATTTATAAAAAGCTGTTAGCGCAATCCCTGGCGGGATTAAAAATGTGAAACATGATCTAACTGTTGTAATCAATCGCAATAAAATAGTGATTGTGTATATTACGGACCACATTTTATGTCTCATGTGTATAAAAAAAATAACCTTAATTAATACTATACTAATATACATTTATTTCATTTAAAAAATTATACTTTATTATTAGTTATGATATTATTAATTATTATTTTTATTATTGATAATGGTTATCTAGCACCGTAGCTACTAAGATGTCTGTCACGGTCTGTGACGTAGTTATTAATTAATAACTAACGAAATATTAATCAGACAATTAATTAGTCGATTAATTAGATTATTAATTGGATAGTTAATTAATTAGTTAAAATGTCTCTCACGTCTGTGATGTCTCGTTGCTAAGGATGTCTGTCACGTCTGTGATGTCTCGTTGCTAAGGATATCTGTCACGTCTGTGGGGAGGGGGGAGGGGAGTAGTGGGCGCAAAAATACTGCAAAAAATCCAACTAAATATTTCAAAGACTTTCATAATACAATCGTTTTTGTTATTTTTTGTACTGAGTGATACCTTATAGTTTTTGTAATGATTTATTTGCTTTTAATATTCTTCCTTTTTATTGTTTTTTTGCGAAAAGAAAAAAAGAAAGAAACCGGATCTGATCTTAACTAGGATTCACAATTATAAATGAATAGATATCCAAAAATTGAAGAAAAGAGAGTACAGAAAAAAACTAAAAGTACTAAATGTTATTTTTTCGTATGTTGTTCTTGAATATATTGCCAATATTTTTTTTTCTACTTGGATCAATTTGTAAAGCTAATTTTCCACAAAGATCATGAATCATTGTTCGATTTTCTTCACGTTTTTCATCTCGATCATCATCAATTAATAATTCAATCATATAACTAAGTAAAAATCTCCATTGTTGATTATTAAAATTATCTTTTTTCAAATTTATTTTTATATAAATTTTCACAAAAATTCCATACATGTTGATCAGTTAAATTTAAAGAACGAAAACGTGCAATACCACGTAAATAATTCCATGCACTTTCATTATCTGGACATAATTCAATATGTTTTTCAACATAATCTAATTCACATTCAATAATATCCTCTTTAAAACCAGTTGTATGAGCTATAACAAAATAACGTTGATTCCAAGCAGAATTATTTCGTATATCATTTATTAATTGATCAACATAATCTAATTCATTCAACCAAAGTGAATAAGTTTTAAGTAACCATTGACGATATTGCCATGCATGATAATTTTTCGAATCATTATTAATAACAGTAGAAAGAAATGGTAATTCATTCGATACAATATCTGAACGTTCAACAATTAAACGACGATGTTCCCAAACCTTAATAAAAAAAATCAAAGAAAATAGAAAAAAAAATAATAAAATTTACTTGATATTTTTTTGGATTTTCTTTAATCATTTGTGCAATAAATGTTAATTCTTCATTTAAATCGCATTTAAGACGATATAAAATTTGACATCTATAACACCAAACTGTATAATTCGCAGGATTAAGTTGACATGCCGTTTTTGTTAACTCAAGTGTTCGTTCACTCATTTCATTTGATTGCATACGTGCACGTATATAATCAAATGTTTCACGAAATTGATCTGAATAATCTATTTTAACAACAGGATTTGATCCATCATCTTGTTCAATTGGTACAACATCAGACCATTCTGGTTGATGAGAATATGAAACTTGAGTAGATAAGTCTTCAGATTCAGTATCCGAATCGGTATTCAACATTTTCCTATTTCGATTTATCTTTTTTGTTGTCTTAAATAAAAATCTAAAGTAAAGAACAATGAAAATGATATTATTATTATTTTCTTTAGCTTCTTTTGATCATAATGATTAGCATATATCACTGTTTGTGAGATATAGCAGAAAATAACAAGTGCAGAACTTGAATAAAAATGTATATACAAGTCCGTATGAGAAAATTAACGTAAGCAAAAAAAACAGATTGAGCATATAGCACTGTATGTTAGGAAAGAGATTATTCGAAAATGATATCAGCTGTTTTGTGTGTATTTGATTACTTGGAAAACATGATTTAGATGAAAGAAACTCAGATATTAGCTGTCGATTGGGTGGCATTCGAGAATCATCGTTGAATAAAAACGAAAATGATGAGAAGAAATATACTTAATGCTCGAGTTAAAGGTAGATTTTGATATACATCAAAGCTTTGATGCGTTGCAGTGTCCAACATGAGTCAATTTTCCGTGATGCGACCCGAAGTAAAAGATAGTTTTTGGCCAATCGAAGTAAGTTTCTTCAGACGATAACAATCTTTTCAATTAATCTATACAAATTCTCTCAATATTCGAAATAAAGAGATGATTATCTCATCTAAAATTGTTGTTTGTCTAATGTGAAGTTTGTAATCGATCAATTTTTTGTGACCCGATCCGACCCGAGTTTGAAAACTTTTTTCATGATTCGACCCGAGTCGGATACCGATGTGTTACTCATTTCCTGTCTTAATTATCTACTTTTTCCAATCCATTGCTGGTCGAGACTGATGACTTTTTTCTGTAGCAAATAGAGGTGTAAGCCAAAGGGCCGAATGGCAACGGCGGGGAAAAATTTTCAATTTTTGAGAATTTCCAGTGGCTACCGATTCGATTTTGGGGGCTCTTCAGCGGCGACGGTCATAATTGTTTCATTTTTTTTGACAGCGGCGGCGCCGGCTGATATTTCTAAGTTCTTCTGCAGCGGTGGCGGCTAAGTCCAAAACTGTAGCAATCTTTCGAGAATAAGAAATTCCTGATTATTTCAATCCCTGTGGTTAGGAATTCGACTGATGAGAAATAACAGAAAGATGTTTGATCACATATGTATGGATGTCAGCGACGGCTCATACTATCATAAAAATTTTCGTTCGTTGCGGTGGCGAAACACCTAAACTTGCTTTTCCACAACGGCGGCTACTGGAATTTCTTAAAACTATCTATGATTTCGTGGCGGAGGCGATGGCTCAGCCGTACAGCTTACACCTTTAGTAGTAAACAATGTCGCACTTGTGAGATTCATTTTAGCCTTTAGAATTTTTTCTCAGAATTTGCAACTTGTTTGACCTCGTTGTTTAACACTATATTGACCCCTTCGCCGTTACTGACGACATATACGTCAAAGCAATCTTTATGGAAAAAATGACAACTACCAATCGTAACAAGGGGTAATCGACACTCCGGGATCCAGATACTCCAGATGAATCTCCGGTACTCCGAAACATCGAGTGGCAATTAGCTGCCTACCAACTTACTAAACTTAGAATTATACTTCGTTGATTTCCCGACAAGGTTTTGTTTACACAAGGATGTTGATTTACGATAGGAGATTAAGTTAAAGTGATAGTTCAGTCGGTCACATCCAAGGGGAAAATCACGTACTCCCGTACTTGGGTGTGGGTTGGTGGGTGTGAGTGTGGATGGGTGTGGGTATGGGTATGGGAGGGTGTCGTGTGGGGTGTGAGAGGGTGTCGGTGTGGGGTGTTGGTGGGTGTGGGTATGGGCGTGGGTGTGGGTGGGTGAAGACAAGAGCTGTACACGCACCCATACCCACATTTTATTTAACTTTCCTTTCAAAAGCCTAGTTACACTAGATAGTTTTTTTTTCTACCGATGTGATAGACACTTGCCAAGTGCTGTCAAAATCAGTCATCAAAATATAACGAGCATTCTTAGTATTTAGGGATGTCGATATGGGTGTGGGTGGGTGTGTTGGTTGATCAGAAGAAACCCCACACCCACACCCTTCAACAAACAATTCATGATCTTCGCCAAGACAAACCTAAATTTGTTGAATCTTATGAACGTCTTCAACATGACTATGACAAATATGGATCGAAACAACAAAATATTCATGATTCTGCACAAGTAAAACACGCATTATTTCAAGCAGTAAACTTTTTTCTTTCTTTTGTTTATAGAAAAAATTAACAGCAGTTGAAGAACGTGTTGGAAAAGCTGTTCAAGCGAATGAAAACAAACAGAAGCAAGTAAGAAAATGAAACATCAAAAGGCATATAAACATCATGTCAATAGTAATTGTTCAGTATAAATTGAAAGAGTTAAACAAGCTCTTCAAATTTGTCGCTGTTTCTTTGTATATACAGTTGATTGATTCGAATGAGTAGAAAAGAAAAAGAATGAAGAAAATATTAAAAACTTCGTTTTCTTTTTTTGTATTATTACTTTATTTTAACTCATTTTCTCATTGAACACATCAACAATTGTATTCTCTTCCTATTAAAATTTATAAAAGAAAAAACAATTTTTTAAAGACGAATTTTAAGTATTTTTAATTTAATCTAAAGATAAACCGTATCATTTTAAATCAAGGAAGCCTTAATAGTCAAATCGGTAATGACAATTTAAATATTTAAGTCATTTTTTTTTCGTTCTTTTGCTACATGTTAATTGAATATAAAAAAAACCACATGAGAATATAATTTTCTTTTTTGTTCAATTTTTTATTATGTCTTTAACGGATAACATAAGAAAGAAAAAGAAATCTGTTTTGGTTAACATGAAAGTTCTACCGTCAGAATTCTGTAAGTTGCTCAAAATATGCTTGCTCGTAGTTGATAAAATTGAAATGGAGCGTAGTTTTGACTTTCTGAAAAAAAAACATTCAATGTAAATAAATATATCCTAATTCTTAAACCATTTGATAAAAAAATTGATTTATTCTTGTTGTTCTCTTTATAATTCTAATTATTTTAATTTTGATTTATAAGATAATAAAAACATTAGTGTAGAAAAGCCGATTACTTTGTTGTATTTTAGTGCATTTTCAAGATATTCTACTCCTTATTTTCAGTGACTTGATTTTCAGCCAAATAAAGATCATTCAAAGTATCTAAATGAAAAAATGATAATATGTCAATAATGTGGAAAAACTAATTCATATTATGTTTCAAATGTTTTTTTCCTTATTTGATTGTTCATAAATCAGGATGATAGATGATGAACATATAAATTGGAGTTGATTTTATAAGAAGATAATTATTTCATTGGTTCTAAAATGTAGAAATTTAAAATTATTGTACAAAAATCAATAGTAAATAATTCTTAAAGGACCAAAATTTTTTTAATGTTGATTTAACAAATATAGTTTTAGTAATCCTATATTGTACTATCATTATATTAAATAATGAAAGAAACATTTGACTCAAAATTAGATGCCTATACCAACGCACTGAAGGTTAGAAGAAAATGAAAGTACTTCATAGCTGATGAAACATATAACAAAATATTATGAATACTATGAAAAGAACTGCGATACGAAATATAGTTTTTGGAAAAACTTCATTGCTCTTCAACTTTGTGATTAATCCTCAGTTTGATATATAAAATAATAACTAGCTGATATAAAAATCAAGATGAAAGAATTTTTTTAGTTCTTATTATTTATTTCATTCGATAAGATTTTAGATTTTCTCTCTCATCATTGATATAACTTTGTTAAATGTTCATTTTTTTTCCTTAACTTCATGTATTGATAAGAAAAAGATGGCATCGAACACATAAATAAACATTTAAAATACGAAATTCAACTAGCTACTTTTTAAAGATTTCTGAATTTAAAAGTTAACCTCGACATTTACAGGAAAACACAATGAGAAAATAGAAACTTTTTCGATCACTTGCAGTCTTTAGATGTTTCTAAATGAACGATCTATTGATATTAGATACAAACGATTATGATCTTAAGAAAGAAAGAAATTTATATTCTGAACAGTAGAACAGAAATTCATTCAGAAAGAAGATAATATACTTGTTGATCGTATATTTAAGATTGAAACACAATAATAATTGATTAACAAGAATTTCAATCAGATATCAAAAACGATCCAAACGATAGAATATTGTACAATATAAGAAGGAAAGATTAATCGAACTTTTACTCAAAGTATTCAAATCCGATTTTACTATTTTAAATCAAAATATTCCGACAACACCAATGATTCACTGTAGATTAATGATTTCTTATATATAAATACGTATATTCGATGGAAACGATTGTACATGACTCTGCATCATTCAACATAAATCAAGTATGATGAAATCGATTAGAGTACCGAGTTCGAATTGAAACTGAGAATAACTAGCATAGTTCAAGTATTTTGATATCGGTTGAATCTCCTATGAAAAACGATCAGTATCGATATAGAGGATTGATTAAGTATATATTGAAATAACAAATGATACTGCATATATTATCTAATGGTTTCCTTTCGATTGTACGAAGTTCTTAATGATTAACGAGTTGAGTAGCCTGTTTTGATGATTCATGAATGACATTCCAACAATAACAAGATTCTTTTTGTCACTTTAAAATTTCTATTCTGTGTGTTTGTTATGGACTTTTGCCTACTTGTTTTGTTGTTTCCTTTTACAAGACAACTATTATTTCGTACGATGATTATCTCAATGTGAAAATGAAGGTTTTGCTTTCTAGATGAAATTCTAAAAGTTTATCTTTAATTTGTCGATGGCATACTATTAAGAATTTCTAACGTTATTAACAATAAAATCTGGTTTTTATATCGTAGCAAATGAAATTTGAGAAAACATACTTGAAATCAACAAATTGAAAGTGGTTTAATTAATATAGATATTCAATATAAAAGATTGTAAAGATTTGAATGAAAGTAAAGATGATATGAGAGTATATTCAAAAAAAGATTAATAACTTCCCTGATCAATTAATATATTCGTATTACATTAGAACAT